TTTCATGCAGATCTTGAACTGCACTTATTTCCAACAAGATGGTGCACCATGCCACACAGCCAAAATTGTAAAGAAGTGGTTTGCTGATGAAGGAATTCAAACCCTTGAAAATTGGCCTGGGTCATCACCAGATCTTAATGTTATTGAAAATTGTTGGCATATTATGAAAGTAAAAGTAGCTGCCAAAAAGCCTAGATCCTATAATGATTTAGTTGAAGCAATCAAATCAGTGTGGGTCCATGAAATTACACAAGACTATTGTACAAAACTTGTTAACAGCATGCCAAAACGTATCCAAATGGTAATTGACAATAACTATGCTTCCATTAAATATTGAACTTTTATCATGTATGTGCATGTACCTATCATCTTTAAAATTGTTATAAACACTTATTTTATTGAAAAAAATAAAAAAATTTACTAATAAATTGTTTTTCACACAAATATATTGATTTCATAACATAAAATATGATGTTCCAGGATTTTTTGCCAACACTGTATATATATATATATATATATATATATATATATATATATATATATATATATATATATATATATATATATATATATATATATATATATATATATATATATATATATATATATATATATATATATATATATATATATATATATATATATATATATATATATATATATATATATATATATATATATATATATATATATATATATATATATATATATACACATATATATATACAACGTGGAAAATAACAACCAGTCAACAAAATGACTGAAATTGCAATATCCCAAAATGAATTATTGCTGGTCATAGTTGACAGGTATAAAAAAAATACTAGTTTTAAAAAATATTTGACAAACAATCAGGATGTAATTTGAAAAAATCATACACCAAAATTTCATACAAGCACTTAAAGTTTGAAAAAGTGCTTAAATTAGTTTTATTGTTTACAATATGCTTTGTTGATGAATATTATATATGATGTAAACTATATCTTTTTTTGCTCCACATACTAAGATTAATTTCATTTTACTGGTGATGAAATTTTTTTTTTACAATAACAGTTCTTTTATTATTTTGATAAAAATATTTAAACATTTTAACAATAATATAATATAATAATATATTATAATTACTATTTTGAGGATTTTTTTCCTTCCAACTCAACTCAGTCATGTTTTTTTTTTCTTAAAATCTTTTAATTTACTTTCTCATAATTTTTTGCCGCAAATTGCAATTAATGAATGAAGCATTTTTAAAGAAATTTACATTCAATAGTTTTTAACATTTTTTTAAAATTATTTCAATATTAAAATAAAAAACTCAGTGATAAATTTTTTTCTATCAAACTTCCTTTTTTATTTGAATATAAAAACATTAGCAGGTAGTTAAAACATTTGTTATTTGCAAGTTTCCATTTAAAAAATGCATTGATTTTATTTAAAATTATCAAATATAAATTTGCTAATTTTCAAGCATTAGGTTATTTTTGTATTTATTAGTTCATTATTGATTATAAAATCAAGAAGAACTAATATATATATATATATATATATATATATATATATATATATATATATATATATATATATATATATATATATATATATATATTAGATTGATTGACTATGAGCAGCAACAAAATCCAGCAGGCTACGCTAAACAGGTACAACCCATAGAAAATTAATTCCAGCTATAAAAAATTAATTAACCTATAGAAAACTAATTCCAGATATAAAAGCTTTCAAATCAAGCTTCTCAACTACTGCTAGAACAATAAAAACAGAAATAACTTAAAGAAAAAAAATAAAAATAAACACGCTACTAGTAAATACCAATGGAAAATTGCATTTGTTGGGTGTACCTTATTTACCCTCATCTTCGGGTGACAAATAATATAAAGGAATAATGTAATTGCTTGAAGATTATAATATAAAACCACATGTTGGTGGATTATGCTTTAACACAACATCAACAAATACTGGCATTATGAAAAGAAATGTGAACAGAATAAGCAATACTTTAGGCAAATACATTCTTTAACTTGCTTGCACACACCATATCACAGAGTTGAGAATATACCATTTTTATTAAACTGTTACTCATGAAGAAAAGGTAGGACCAGATAATCATTTTTTTAAAAGATTTAGTAATAAATTCAAAGATCCAGAGTTTAATTACAATCCTGAAAATATATTAGATTTGATTGGTCATTAAAAACAGGGACTGTTGTCAAGAAAGCAGCAACAGATGCACACAAATATTGCAAAAACTACAATAAAAAAAGTTGTTAAAGAATATAGAAAAGAACTGCAGAACTTGTTATAATTTATCTATTAAAATCAGGAGTTATCAAAACTAAAAAACAAAGTGTAATTTACCATGCATGATTTCTTAGTTCAGTACTTTATTATACTAAATTTCAGCTACTATACAAACAAGTTTTTAATAAATGATGAAAACATGAAAACTATTAATAATAATAACCACAGAATGTAAGCAATCAAAAAGTTAACCAATATTTTTTACACCCAAATTATATTATATTTTACTTATACCCAAAATATTTATGCTTAAGAACTTTATTGTTTTGAATTTTATGTCTAAAAGCATTATAGTGTATATAAACACAGACTTTAGCAATAAATTTCACAATGTCAATTGTGTGTGGCAAACTGTTAACAACTTAGTGTGTAGCAGATTGTTAACTGTGGCAGACTGTTAACAACATAGTACTTAGTGTGTGGAAGAGTGTTAACTATAGCAGACTGTTAACAACTTAGTGAGTTTGGTGGAAGCTGCACAGTAAAAGGGGAGAGTTTATCTTTCGTTAGTAATTATTTTATTAGTTTGTTGTTATTAACAATAGTTGTTATTACAACAGTAATACTGTTGTTATATTAATAATATAGTAATACTGTTGTTATACTGTCAGTATAACAACAAGAATATAATTAACAGCAACAATAAAGTTTTTATAAAATTTTATGAAGACTTAAAATTTAAAGACAATTTAATTGAAATATTAAAAACCTTTACAAACTTCATTGTTGCTGTTATTTATGTTATTTTTTATATACTGATAGTATAACAACAATACTATTAGTACTATTAATACTATTAATAAAGTAAAATTGAACAAATTGATGAGTTTTTTGTTGCATTTGTTGTTTTTATACACAATGCTATAAATAAGCCGAGGGTGGATATTGAAGAAAAATTAAATCTAGACAGTTTCGAAGCTAGTATTCAACCAAATTTGGCAGTATTTGTTGACAAGTGTTTATACTTTAATTATACTTTATTTATTGTTTGCAGTAAAAGGCTTTACAGAATTTGCGATTGGTTATCACTTTCTCCATCCTATTGGTACACTCAATCATACTTTAACCAGTTTTTATGTAAAAATTTTGATTGTTTTAAACAATCCCGCAGAAAAAAATGTGAGTATGATGCAGTTTATCCATAGATACATTAGTCATTTTATAAAAATAAATTTATTTATCAATTTTTAAAGAGGGGGTCGTAACAGAAGTGTGTGTGTGTAGAGAGAGAGAGAGGAGGAGGGGGGAGGGTAAAGATCCTAACCTCACCTCGAGTACATGAATGATAAAAGTAACAAGAAAGTTGCAAAATTTCCAACCATAAAATATTTTTAATTTTTCAAAAAAAAGACTTCAATATAACATTGCGCACAAATTATGTAAACTGATTTTGAATGAAAAATACTTAGTCATAAAAAATGCAAAAACACATATGGTTTTAAATGCTAAGCATATGAAGTCATTTTTTTTTAATTTCAGCAATACAAGTTTAAATTTGACCTTCCATCAATGTCACGGAAAACTGCATATTTTGACTAAAAATTTGACCTTTTCTGTCAAAAAAAATTGAAAGAGTGTTAAAAGTGATCAAAAACAGCTGGGTAAGTTTTAAACTATCTACATATTTGCACTGAATTTAGCAAGATACTTATTTTAGTTTCAAAATTTTCCTCAAACTGATTCACCCTAATGTATGTATGTATGTATGTATGTATGCATGCATGCATGTATGTATGTATGTATGTATGTATGTATGTATGTATGTATGTATGTATGTATGTATGTATGTATGTATGTATGTATGTATGTATGTATGTATGTATGTATGTATGTATGCATGTATGTATGTATGTATGTATGACATCATACTGATTTAGAGAGCTTTGAGGTCTTCAGTACATACATTTAGTGAGAACTTGCAAAAGAGTTTGCTGCTCATTGACTGAGGGTTTTTTCTTTTCTTTGTTTTTTTCTTTTTGCAAAAAAACAATATGAAATTAAGTTGACAAAAGAATTAGGTAAATGTTTTACGCTATATATGCTATAATAAAAATAAGAATTAGAAAAATATTTTCTTTTTATTGTCATTTTTTTCTTTATACTTTATAAAAAAAAGTTCATAATTATTTCACTAATTTTATTCAAGACATTCTAATTACTATTATTATTACCAAAGACATTCTTATTATTAACAAAGATAAAAAAGATAAATGATGAACAATCTTTTTTTTTCTTCCTGTAATAAATTTTATTTATACAACAGCCCATAACAATACCTATCAATTATGTTACTCTAACGTATCTCTAATTCACTTTGGTGCACCAGCTCTGGTTTAACATAAAAGCAACAGTGTATGTTTTTACAATCATTATAGAAATAATTATTAGGAATACTTACTTTTTGTATATTTGCATACAAATGGTCTTTTAATGTAACAAATATTATCGTTCCAACGTCCATTCACTGTAGTGTGAACACAGTCTTCTCTTCTCCCTTCGTAGTTGTTTGGTTCCATCGTATCCCAAAAAGTGAATGACAATGGAGAACCATCAATCCAATTATAGAAATTATTTATTTCTTTCGAGGCTAACCCTGATTAATTGTTGAAAAAATTTAATTATTAAAATGTCATTTACTTTTTAAAATCTTTGACATGGAAAAGAAATAAATAAAAAAGAATATAAATAGTTACTTTTTTTACTTAAAAAATTAATTATAGTTTAAAGAGTTCAAATTTAAATAAATAATAATAAATGATGTAATTTAATTAACATAATACAACAAATCTTTATAGTTTCAAACCTATCCAAAATTCATTTAAAAGTTTGGATTCTGAAACTTTCAATGATATAAAAGCTTGTTCAATTGGATTGTTTATACTAGCTAGACTTCCATTGCTTGATAGACATGCGTCTCTAGCTAAAGACCATGACATTTCATTGAAATTTATTGCATAACAATATGTTCCAACTTCTTCTTGTCCCCAACTACACCTTCCAAACTCTATAACAGAAAAATATTCTAGAAATAAAATATTAACTTTGAAACTATTACATATTATTTTTATTATTTAAAGCATTCCATTATTATTAATTTAGCTTTTTCTATTTACTACATAGATACATTGCTATTTTATTTTAATTTACTTGAGAAATACTGCTGAAGTTAAATTATAATAGTGGTTATCATTAGACATCAATTGTTTTATTATTAGACATCAATTATCATTAGACATCAAATATTTTTCTATATAAAAAATGACTTCAAATTTTTGTTTTTAAATATACTTTGTTCAATATACTACTGATTTTGACTGTTCCACAAGCGATTGTTTCAAAAGACTTCCTTTCAAAATAAATATGTATCTTTTGTATTCAAAAAATTAAATTTTTTTGTTTAAAAATATTTAAAAGTTAAAAATTGTGATACTATTGAAAATAACATTTTACTGCAAACAATTTGGTATAGAGACTATATTATAATAATATTTCAATTTTAAAATTCAAGCCAATTGGCAAACACATTTTATAAAAAATGTATCAAATTAGCTCATTTTGCTATTGCAACTTGCAGAAGTCTAAATTTGGTACAAAAAAAATAAATTCCTGATTGCCAATATTTTTTAGAAGAAAGATTTTTGTTTTTACAGAAATCTTCAAAATCTTCCAGTTGATAATTATATGATAAATGATATATAATGCATGATACAAGACAAATTTAAAAAAAGGTAAAAAAAAAGACCCATATTGAGCCTAATAAGATTAAATATTGAAAAGGATAGAAATACACAATATTTTCAAAACAAATGCACAAACAACTACTATAAGAAAAGAAACCTAAAATACTGGAGAGCGAATAATTATAAGTTAAAACTTTGTATTACAAACCTGACAAATAAATTTGATTTATTTCAGATACAGATAATTCTCTTTCAAAAATAGCAACAGATGATAGCTCTACTTTACAGAACTCTAGAGATGCAGATGCTCCAAAATATAAAGTTTCAGTAGACTGTGGTCGCGAATAAGAAACACGAAAGAAAGGTTGAGTAGCTCTAATATATATATATATATATATATATATATATATATATATATATATATATATATATATATATATCTGTGTGTGTAAGTGTGTGTGCATGTGTGTGTAAATATATATCCACTCACACATTGAACACGTATGAATGTTACTTTTAAATAAAAGTTTTTAAATTTTTAAGTTAAAAAAATTCTATTCTTGCATTAATATATATTTTTAATATCTTGCATTAATATATATTAATCATACTTAATGGTGCCATTTATGTAGACAAATAATCCGTTTTGTAGAGAATAGGTAAATGCTACATGATACCAAGTATCTTTAATGAATTTTACATTCTGTGAATAGTAAATATTTTCACCAAGAACATACACAAAAAGTGTTTTGCCAATAACATATATGCTATAACCCTTAAATTTATTATATGCAACACTGTCAATAATTGAACACTTAGTTGATGATTCCTGACTGCATTTAAACAAAACTGAAGCAGAGAAACCATGAAGACAGGTATTGGAAAGTGGATTTATAGAACAAGAACTATTAATAACTGCTTTTACATAGTTGTCTTTTCCATTAAATGATAATACATATCTTGGTTGTTGATTTGAGAGAGTCACTGGAAACAAAGAAAGAGAATTAGGTTGACCTGATCCAAAATATTCTGCTGTTGATGTCCCCATGACCTCTTTACCCATAACTAAATCTAAAGGCCAGTAGTAATCACTGGAACTACGCCAATCTAAAACAAAAAAAATACTACAAATATTAACTTTATATATATATATATATATATACATATATATTTATTTATATATATTATGAATATATCAGGGGCTATTCTAGACTGTTTTTCGACAGCGTCAACTGTATTTGGGCGCTACCCAAATATAATTTGAGGAGATTTTTTTTTTAAATAAATAAAATTATTGCAAATATTATTTTTTTCATAAATAAAACGCAAAAAACTTTGGTAATAGTTTTCCAGAACAAGGGAGTACTGCCGCCCAAATTTCTTTCCTAGAATAGGCCCTGTATATATATATATATATATATATATATATATATATATATATATATATATATATATATATATATATATGATATATATATATATATATATATATATATATATATATATATCACCGTTTGAAAATTTTGACTTTTTTGGTTACGAAACATCCCGAAAAAATCCTCTTAGGGTATGAAACTACACATGTCAAGAATACTATATCAACTTACTTTGAAATCCAAAATTAAAATCCGAGAGAGATATTTTTATTTGAAAATATTCAATATTTTCACCAAATGGATAGAAGTTGGTTACAACCTGCCCTTAACAAAAGGGGTCATATCAGTCCTAATACAGCCTAACTAATTTAAAAAGTAAAATTAAGATAGAAAATATGCCATTTTTGACAATAATTCATATTCACAATTTTAAAATTTTATTTGAAAATATTTAGAAAACCATCTTTCAATTTTTTGATATAATCAAAATTTCTCACTTCAAAAATTTTTCTTTTGACAAATAAATACATTCTTTACACACACACAAACTGAGTTTCTCCAAATTGAAAATGAGGAGTCTTTTATTTTCTTTCTTTCCAACTAAACTTTTTTGCTGTTGTAATCAACTACACAACTGAGGAGTTGACTGGAATATTCCGGATGAGTAGAGTTTCGCTTGAATCTTTGCCAGTGGGTCTTGAAATTTGAATGAAGAGCTTCTGTTGCTTGCTCACTGAATACACCTAGACCAACCTTGTGCTGATGAATGAATTGTTGAACGTGATGAAAAACAGCATGTGCCTTTGGTGTGACTGAGACTGGTAATTTCAAGTAGTTATCTTTGAAATCACAAATTTTTGCCTCATAATCTGGCAACAGAGTGTATCCAAAGCATGAAACCACAACCTGGTGAAATGAGCTCAATGCTTGGCATGCCTTTGTTGCATCTGGTGCTTTTTCAGCAATTGTCAATTGCATAAGCTCTTCAATTTTCCTCAGCACTTTCATGCAATCTTTTCCATTGAAGTGGCCACCATGAAATGGTTGCATCTGAATGTGGATTGAATCCAACCATTGTTTGGTCTTTGGAAAAACTTGAACCAAGTACTTGATGAGGTGGTTGACAACTCCCAGGAGCAAATGCAGTTCCATGGGTGGGATTGCCTCAAGGATCAATTCCCTGTCTGGAAAGGCAAACATTGGCAAATGAACCACATTTTCAAACTCTTTTGATCTTTTGGCATCACAACCAGACTTCACAAATTTTTTGTACAAGTCTCTGATGCCCCCGAATGTTCTAAGCTGACCACAGTTTTCCAAATGTGCTGAGTCTATGTTGCACCAACAGCAAGGATGCTTACTGCTGTGTGACTGGATTCCACAAACTATGTTTGCAAGCTTCATGTCACAAGAAATAACAAGTTTTTCTGAAATGGAGATTTCATTGATTTGGAGAAGATCCAGAATGTGCTTAACATTTGGGTAAGTCTCTGGTGTGTTCTCTGAAATGGCAACAATCAGTTGTTTTTGAACACTTGTGTTTTTGAAGTTGTCTTTGCTGATCAATTTTGATTTCTTCTGAACAGGACTGTGAGGTTCTCCTTCATGCTCACTGATAAGACTCAAACTTGCCTTAAAGAATAATCCTCCACCATCAATGCCAAGCTTTAAGAAGTTTGAGTTTTGCAAGCCTCTGGATGAAACAATATTTTCTTTAAGGGTTTCCAAATTTGTGCAGTGAACAATATGGCGTGTTTCATTTGATTCTGGTAACTGTGAAGTGGTTACTGTAAAGAAACTTTTGAGGGTAGTTCCAGCTGCAGCAAATTTTTGTTGAAAATTAGCCTCAACTATGCGAACAGGACTTATTTGATTTAAAGCTGACCCAAGCTTTCTCATTCCATTGTTAGAAAGTCCAATGTTTTGCTGAATATTAATCATATCTTGTGTTGTCAATGGCTCTGAGGAGAGACCCTGAGTTGCATTTGATCCTGTGAATAAAGAAACAAATAAGAAAAAAACCAATATTAAAAAGCAAACCCAGCAACAATACTTTAACATACCTGGTCTGATTTCAAGAGGCTTTCCATGAAACCGGCTAATCAGAATAGTTCCATCGGAAGATACCTCTTTGGAAGAAACAATGAATGATGCAATTTGCTCTGCCCCTAACGGATCTGCCAATGCCAGAGCTTTCAAGTTTTCACGACGTGTTGCTTCTTTGCAGTTATGAGGCAGTCCTCGAGCAATGACAGATAGGCATTTTGTGCATCGTTTTTCAAAAGATTTTTCTTCTTTTTGCACTTCTTGCTGAGATGGTTTTTCAAAGGGGTGCTTTCCTTTCCCTTTGGTTTTTGAAATTTGACAAATGATGCAATCACATTTAGTTGTCTGGCGAGTTGATGGTTTGATCAATATGGATTCGAAGTCATAAAGTTGAGGTATACTCACTTCTTCATCTCCAGAAGCTAACTTTCTAAGCAGGAACCTACAGGTGACACAGATCCCTCGTGGAACCCTCTCATCATCAAAGTTGATGTTGCCAGAAATCAATCTTTTGATTTCACTGATGAAATATTCTGAAATTTCTCTGTCACTTTTTTTCATACAAAGTGTGCAAACGACCTGCCGACATTGATTATGATCCTTTGAAAAAGTAGGCATTTCAAAATCTGAGATGAACTTGTGATCTGTTTGAAGATATCATTTAAACTAATTCATAAAGTACAAAGAGGTCATAAAACGTATGAAAATGTACTAAAAGTACAAAAAGTCCGTAAAATTGGAAATGTCCGAAGAGTACAAATTTTAGGAAAGTACAAATTTACGGCAATTCACGTATCAAATTTTTCATCGTAATTCGCGATTCAAAAATTAATCGATTCAAAACTTGAAATGGAAATATCTCCCCTTATAGCTCATTTCTCAAAAAAATTTATTAAATACGAAATCTTTACAAATTAATTGTCTAAAAAAGTTATTTTATTAAAAAAATCACTACGACCCACCCCAATACCGCTATTTTCAAAAACAAAAACTGCTAATGTTTTTATATTATTTCAAAAATTTAAATCAAAATATCTCTCTCGGATTTTAATTTTGGATTTCAAAGTAAGTTGATATAGTATTCTTGACATGTGTAGTTTCATACCCTAAGAGGATTTTTTCGGGATGTTTCGTAACCAAAAAAGTCAAAATTTTCAAACGGTGATATATATATATATATATATATATATATATATATATATATATGTATATATATATATATATATAGGCTTTGGCAGAAATGGCTGGCAATTATTAAAACGGGGGTGAAAAAAAGCTCACTTGAGTTTTAATTACAAAAGCTTTTTTAAAATAGTTAGTCAATCTTTTGCTTGTAATAATTTTAAATTTTAAGTTTTTAAAGAATAAGAGAAATGTATGAATGAAGAATAAACTTTGTAGATAAAATTAGAACAAAGTACCATAAAAATGTTATATTATAATAAATCGGTTAAAAAAAAACTAATATTTAAAAATAGAACTCATGTAATTTTGTTAAAATGCTACTTTTTTTTTAGAAAATGTTAGAAAGAATGAATAAAAAAATATTTATAAAAAATGTCGCTAATAATTGTTTTTTTGTTATTGTAATTCACACTTGCAAACTTGCCTCTATATGAGGAAACAAAAACAATTTTAATTTACATTGTGAGAGATAAAGATATCATTGTCATTTTGACAAACTAAACAGAGAAAATATTGTAAACATATATTAGCACTACTTTTGTTTTAAAACATACCAACATTAAGAAGTTGCAAAATGCCATGAAAGTGTAATGAAATGTTATTATTAGAAAGATTTCAATTAGCTTCAGTTCTGATAGTCTCTCCTTAAAGACATAAAAAAATTAATTTACAAAAACTTTTTTTCTTAACAATGCTTAAGAGTTGTCCCACTATTAAGCTCTACAACACAGTATTGACTCAATATCTGACTACAATAAAACCTTCTAGCATTGTCATTTTTTAATGATTTTTTTTTTGTGACAGACACTTTGGTGTTTGTATCAACTTCTAAAACAACAAGATAATTTTTTACATATTTAGATTCTGATGTTTCCAGTTCATACCAGTATTATGCAACATCATTTTTTTGTGAGTTTTAACTTTTTTCAAGGGTCGGTTTTTAGATCTGGTAATATATGTTAAATTTGTACTTTTTTTTTTTTAATTAACTCTTTTGGGTTTGCTTTGTTTGATTCCATTTTATGTAACAAAGTTAAAAATTTATCAGATGAAAGTCATCTTGCCAACTTTTGTTTGATTTATGACCCATGACTTTCTTTTGGGGTGACTTTCTTTTGGGGCAATATTGACAAGCATTCTTGTCAATGTTACTCCAAAACTGAAACAAGCAATTAAAAAAAAAAAACTATAAAATAATCTCAAACGCTATTTAGAAACAATATCACACTCACCTCCATACAAAGTCAGTTTAAAGGGAAATAACAAAGCCTGTACAGAATAAAATTTTTTTTGTAACTCAAAAATTTAACAATTTTTTATTAAATTTAATGTTTTTTTAGGCGTAGTTAGAGTTGTATTTTACGTACATAAACAAAAATTGTAAAAAACATCTAGTGCATTTAAAATAAAACTTTTAATTAATTTAATTAATTATTTTGATTAAATAATTTAAAATTACATGATAATTAAAAAAAAAGAAAAAATTAAGTGTTATATTAAGCTATTTGAACTATTTTAATTTTATCTTTTCAATTGAAAACTTTTTATACATAAAATTTAACCAATCCAAACTATTTATTCTAAAAATATAAGAAAAACTTAAGAATTACTAAAACATAATAAATTATCCTAATAATTTTATTTTCTTAATGAGCTTTTTATCTAAATATCGAAATAGCTCACAAACAGCTGATTGTCAGCACTAGCATTACCAGAGGGGTCGACTCGCATTGCTTGCCAAGTTTATTTTAGAAGAGCGTTTCACAGCTTATGCACTTATTTACTACTGCCAAGGCCTATATATACATATATAATTAAAATAATATATTATAAGTAATAATATAAAAAAACTTATATTAAAATAATATATTATAAATACAAAAATAATATTTTAAAATAATAAATACTTAAATAATTGAACAATTAAATAAAGTAAATATTATGACTTATAAAGTAATTTAAAAAGTTTACTGCTATTGAACGACTGCTTGAATTCATATGGGTTTTTATCTAAATAACAAAACAGCAGAATAACAACACGTGTAAAAACAGATTAACAGCACATCATACAATAAACATGTGATGTAAACAATACAGTTTATAATAGCATAATACTCACCGCAAAAACTATAAGAAAAATTATAATAACAATAACTAAACAATAACAAATAAAAAAAGCTAACATACAAACATAATATATAAAAAAAAAAAGTAATAATAATAACCATGGTATATAATATCTATAGACAGTGGTGTAATGTTATGGTCATCTAGCAGTACAAGACAACTAGACCTTTTAAAAAGTCTCTGAAATAAAGCATTTTGTTACTCTGCAGCACAGCCAGAGAAGTTTATTAATAAATATATTTTGCACAGTCTATATTTTTATATAAATATAGTTTTATATTTCTAATTATTGATTGACAATTAACCCAAAAAAATGTTTGATCATAAAAAAATGTTTGATCATACAAGCAATATAACATGTGATAACTAAAAACCCAGACAAGATTTTTATAACTATAAAAACATGAAGGAATTTAATACTTGCAATCTATTTTGTTGCAAATTAAATTCTTGTACGCATTTTAAATTTGCATTCAGATGAGATTAAGTTCTAGATAAAAAAATGGATTATAAACTAGGTAAATATCTAAATAGAGTGTGTACATTGGCTAGCAACAACATTGGCTAGCAACAACAATGGCATAGCAATGACAACATTTAGAAGAGTGTTATTATAATAAAACAAAAATTATAATACTTATATTTACTTATAATTTTATATTTTAATTATATTATTTTGACTTATTTTTTTTTTGTACTTTTTAAGTTAATAAAACTGATCATTTTTGAATTTTAAGTTATCACACGTTGCCACCAAAAATTATAGCTAACAACTTGAGTTAGACATGAAAAATGATTGAGCCACCAATATGGTGGCTTGAAAGAAACCTAAGCCACCAGTATGCTGGCTTGAAAGGAACCTTTCAAGCCACCATATACCAATATGATGGTTTGAAAGAAACCTAAAGTTACACCACTGATGGTATATGATAACTATAATATACAATCACAAAATAAAAAGTAAAGTTTAAAATGATTGGAACAAAATTTGGAAAAAAATGACTAACATTTTCTTTTGCATATAAACGCATTGTAGGAGTAGCAATCTTCATTCACCCAAAAACCATCTGCAGAACGAATCAATACACATTTTGCTTTCACTGTCAATAAAAGATGTAATCTTGGTTGTAACAAAAAGTAATATAAAAAGTTAAAATAGAAAAACAAAAAAATTAAATCAGTTTTATTATGTTAATAAAAGAAATTAAACCCTTATCAAAAAAAGGTGTGTTCTGATTTCATGTGTAAATTATGTTCTGATATCATGTGTAAATTATTGAAAATTTGTTAATGCAAAACTAATTTTTTTCACTTTTTACTTTTTTTGCATCTTGTATTTTTAGTCTGATAAATATTTACACAATTTTAAAGGTGTAAATGCTAAGCAGGGGATGCACAAACCTATATTCTAAATATGAATTAATCAATATTTTTCAGAAATTTCAGTGGCATACATATTGCAAATAAATATATTGCATAGATACTATTGCAAACATAGTTTAAAGACATGTTTACAAAATATAAAAAATGTCTGTACTTAAATGCATGTTGATAACAACTAATGAAAGTAATTAATGTAATAGATGACATATTTATAACTATCTAGAAATACAAATATGATAGATGTACTTAAAAATATATTCCAATGGCTTAAAATAAAAAATCTAACAAAAATGTGAAATGTAATTTAATAAGTATTAGTAGTAGGGTGGCACAAAACACTTTTTTTTTTTAATGTGTTCTAAATGTGTTCTGTATAATAAAATAATACTGGAATTAGAAAAATTTTAAAATATTTTTAGGGGTAGTTCAAGACCCTTCTGACAGGTCCCTAATATTATTAAAAAAAATTCTACAAAAGTATATCATGTTGGGTCTCAAACAAAGCAAAACTTTATTGAATTTTCAAAACTAGTCACCACTTTGTAAAAAAACTATTTTAGATAATAATGCCTAAAAATTACATTTTTAAACTAAAAATAAAATACATGCATTTTTACAAAAAATTTTAAATATGATTATTTTTTTTCAATGTTTTTTCAAAAATTTTTAAATATCCTTCTTCTTGACAAAAAGACTTTTCATTTTAATCGCTTAGAACAGGCAGCCAATCTTGAATCTAATTCACTTCTTTAGCAGATTGGGAGTTGCAGTTGCTTGTAAATTTTTAATTCAACAAAAGTTATTTACTGCATACAACTATCGCAATACTTTCAACATTCCTATACTGATGAATGACAACCCTCTCACTGAGTTCTCTTCTTTATGTCTTCTTGTATTATCGTTCACTACTGACCTCTCATGAAAACCATATATGCAATCGATTGCTAAGTTACCCTTTACTAAGGTTGGTTCTCTTTATCGTGTTTGCCATTATCTTACTCCTGATTCCATTCTCTACCTGGTTCTTCTAATAATGCCCTTTTTCTTCCAGACAAAGTCTAAAAATGGATTGTAGACGTAATTAGACCTGCTTTATCTGCCAAGCTTGAACCCCTCTCCCATTGTAATAAAGTTGCATATCTTTCTCTTTTCTTTATGTTTTTTCTGACTCATACAACTTAGTTTTCCAGTTTTTTTTGCACAAAAAAAAAAAACTATTTTTTTGGCTGAAAAACCAAGGGTTTTGTTTTTTAGCGTTTTGATTTACTTTTTTGAAAAAGCTACTCGTATATAAGTTTGTGCATTTTTTGAGGTAAAAAAATGACTTTTTTCATATTTTAACACAAAAAAAATAAATAATAATAAACAAAAAAAACTTGTTATTAGGTGATATTGAGTATAAGATTTGTTTTCATTCCTCTATTTAACATAACCATTTTAATGGTATTGTTTTAAAAGTTCTTAAGATCAGACCCCACAAAAATAAAAATAAAAATTCTAACATTTTTTATAGTTCATTTTAATGAAGAAATTAACAGATATTAGTGATATGAAAACTCTTTCTGTTTTCTGAGGCAATTAATAGAGATGCAACGAAAAAAAAAAACTACTACTAATTTTTTAATTAGAAAGAATGTTAAGTATATTTGTTTTCGTGAGTAAGTATATTTGTTTTAGTGAATAAGTATATTTGTTTTAGTGAGTAAATATATTTGGTGTTCTTAATGTGGAAATAAGATTATTTTCCAAGATGACGTAAAAATCGTTATCCATATCTTTGCATGAACAGGATACAAAATAATAAAGGAATCAACAATTAGATTAGGTAAATTGCCATAAAGATATTTATGTGAGCAAAGGTATTCTTTAAATAGCAGTACCATCTACTATTTTTGAGTTTAATAATGAAGTAGGTGGTATATATGAAGAGCTTCAAAAACTGAAGATAAAAACCAGTCAAAAAAAAACTCAAACTCAAATATATTTTTAAAATAATGCTGAGTTAATATAACATATTGCTTAGCTAAATAAAGTATAACTATTTAAACAAAGGAAAGAAATAAAAAACTTACAATTTCCATTTTTTGGATAACTACTATACCAATTAACAAGAGGCGTAGGAGACTGATCACTCCATTTATAAATTCCTTTAGAATCAAGATCATTCAATCCTACCCAATAAAAGTCAGATTTTCCTGATAGTGATTGCAACATCTTTTTAACATATAACAGTTCATCAGGACTAACTATGCTCAATAATTCTCCTCCTTCACCAAGACATGCACTGTTAGCAGCTGAACAAAATATTATAATGTTTTACATTAGGCATTAACATTTTCTTTATAATTGTTTATAAATGTTAATTGCTATTTACTCAATACTATTAATTAGAATCTTTTTTCATTTAGAATATTAATATTAATTTGAAGATGGAGGTTTTGTAGAAAAAAAAACTTTATTAGTTAATTATTATTAAAATTATTGATAATTAAAATCAACATTTGGTTTATTTAACAAGAAGTAAACAAAAATTAGAAAATACTCAATTTAAAAAATTAGAAAATATTAAATTACAATTAACTACTATATTAAAAAAATTTGAATAATTAATTACTATATTAAATGTTACATATATTATTATTATGCTTAATGGTTACAGTCCCATACTTTTGAGATTTTGAGGGCTTCCATAATACCATTTTATTATTAAAAACTTTGGAAATTTGGAAATTGAATTAGAAGCAAGCTTTTACAGCAAGATGCTCTTAAACTTTTGGCATTACCCTGTTTCACAAATCAGAATTAAGCCCTTTTATTATAACAATGCCACAAGAAACCACATCCTCTAAAGAAATTCTACCACAACCATTAAAGAAATGTTTCTACTAGAAACTCTTTACATTTTTATATATAAAATTAAAATTCTCTATACCAAGTACTAAGTCTTTTTTAGTACTTTAAGTATTATTAAAACTATGTCCTTGATACATAGAGACATAGTTTCTATGTATCAATCTTAGTTTCACTAGATAAAATCTTAAACTTAGTCTAAAGTTTCAGAAAAATGATAAAAGAATAATTTAATGTCAATTTATCCAGGCCATGCCACCATATATTAGAACTTGATGTTTTTTATAAGGATAAGTGAACTTAATAAAATTCCATAAATATTTTAGCCTTCAAAGCAGATTTTTAAAAAATGGACTTAAAGTCAAATATTCTAAAATAATTGACTTTAACCCCATATTAAACTCGCCCCTTTAGAAATGTGTTTATTCAGAGGTTTCAAAGGCTTTAAAACTTTAAAAATATTTGTTCTTTTTACTTAAGATTTTCTACCTGGTTTTTTTGAAAGAGAAAACTAGAGAAATGATCAGTAACTGCATAAGTTATTACAAATTATCAATTTCTACCCTGTAACAATAAAATATCCTTTTTATATACTTTAGATGCTTGTGTAGTGTTGTGGATACAAACTATTACAACACATTAATCTAAATCCAAAAATCTTTGAAAAAACGTAAAGATTTTTTTCTTGCAAGCATTTAGATTAAACAGAGCTATCCACCTTAAATAATATTATTATTTACAGACAACAGAGTTGCATAAAAGATAAAACATAGTCATCTATAATTTGGGGTTTTTAGCACTATTCGGGGTCACCCAAATATTTGTATTTTTACCCAAATATATAAATAGTGCAAAAACTTTTAAATTATTTTTCAGCGTTTTTTTAAAATAAACCGCCACGTTTTTAAAAATCTAATTTGTTACAAACCCTTTATTTCAATTTCCATGTTACGCAATTTTGTATCATAATTAACTCACCACTACTGAAATTTTTTTAAATTTAACTTTGTTTAATTGTGAAATCAGTAACTATTGAAATTATACAAAGAAGTTCTATAAATACTCCTATCAGGTATGAGAACATGCTTTTTTAGGTTACGTTGACTAAATTAAAATTTTATTTAGAAAATGACAAGTGAAGTGTGGAAACATTTTGCAAAAATCAGGCAAAATGTCAAGTAGACAACTGTAATGAGGTTTGTACGATTGTTAATTATGGAACAACGAATTTGATGAATCATTTAAAATTGAAACATGGCATGGATGTATCTCTTAAAAGAAAGAATACACCAGAATCAAGAGAAGGTCCAAGTAATCAAAACATTCAGCGCCCAATAACAAGTTTTACAGTTCGAGAGTCTAGAGAGTTGTTAATATCAAAATGTGCAGCCAAAGATGGATTTTCAATTAATCAAATAATAAATTCTGATGCTACTAAATTATATTTGTCATCACGCGGTCATCAAAAACCTAAATCAAGATCAACAGTTTGGGAAGACATTAAAAAATACTACAAAGAAGTTTTTAATGAATTTGTGTTAAAAATTCAAGAGTCTGGAGTCATGGGAAAGAAATTTAGTACAATAGTTAATAAGTGGACTAATAATACATTCAAGAGATATTTAAATATCAAAATTCATGACGGCACTGAATCTAAGCAATATGCATTAACTTCTGTTGGATCAGGTAGTTGTAATGCTGAAAACAATTGAAAACAATTGTCAGAAAAAGACATCAAACTTGACATTTCAAAAGATATTATCTCAACTATAAACAATGGAGCTTCCATAATGGAAAAATTTGCGACCTTGATGCCATTTGAAAGTCAACTTTGTTACAATCATGGAATAAATTTAGCAATTGTTGACTGTTTATATCAAAAAGATTGTGAAGAGATTGATAAATATAATGATAATATTGAACTTGATGATGAAGATGAAGATTTTGATGAAAAACTAGATTTTGATTAACAAGAAAGCTCTTTACCAATGGAAAAATCCTACTTTGATGTTATATCAGTTGTTCGAGGATATGTGAGAAAATTTCAAAAATCTCCATTGAAAATTACTCAATTTGAAGAAAATGTCCAAGAAACATCAGGAAAAGAGTTAACTCTATTAATTGACTGCAAGACAAGATGGAATAGTGTACTTCCTATGTTGCAGAGATTTTATGAACTGAAAGAAATTGTAAAATCTACAATAATTGAATTTGAAGATTCATATGATGACAGCATTGAAACTAAAGTTAAAGACATAATAGATTGTTTGATTCCTATTGAAAAAGTTATTAAAAAATTAAGCTCTAAATGCTCCAATTTGATGGTGGCAGAAGGATCATTTATCTATTTATTCAACACACTCAACGCACAGTAAAGTGATATTTGCAAAAAATGCTCGAAAATTTAAAAACTTGTATTGATTCACAAAGAAATGTTGATTTAAAATCAACATTGATTTTTGTTCACACTGGTGATTATACCAAGGAAAATGATTATTTTAAATATTCGTCAAAATTTACTATTAGAAAAAAAATTAAGGAACTCAATACAAGACTATTTGCAGAAGCATTGTTAGAGAAAAATGACAATGAAAATGATTCAAATACAACATCCAAGCTTGATGACACTATCAACCACTTCGTAAACCATCAGAAAACAGTCAAAAGTTCAATCAAAAATGTAATTAAGGCATTTGAAAAAACAAAAGAACGTACAGATAAACTTCTTAACAGTGCAAGCAGCATCAACAGACGTAGAAAGAGTCTTTTCTGTAGCTGGAAACTTTAAGACTAAATTTTGTAATAGAATGAAAGAAGAAAAATTGAATATGCTTGTATTTTTTAAATATCACTTCTTAAATAAAAGCTAAAATTTGAATTGAAATCAATTGATTTTTTTCATACATTTTACTATTTGGTATTTGTACAAATATTTAGGGGGTCACTATTTGAGGTATTTGGTATTGGTAAACCCAAATATTTGGTATCCCTATCTGTGTCACCATGAAAATATTTAAAAGATCTGCGTTTTGATACAAGT